ATGAACGGTTTCTGTCTCCAGACGATGTTTGCAGCTATAAACCAACATGGTGGAGTGAGCTCAGGGGAAATGAGACAAAGCAGACCCGGCTCTCTGCAGGCCAGTAAGGTTTATTAAATTTGCAAAACAAATTAATTTTATGTGAAAAAAAAAAAAAGTTTCTCCGCAGCATCTGGTTAAGTCGACACTTAATAAATAAGAAGCCTCCACTGAGCCAGCTGACGTCTGTTGCTTCCTCTGAGGAAGAGCAACTAACAAAGCCTCAGAACTTCCAGAGAGAAAAGAGAACTCGTACACGCTCGGAATAAAAATAACATTTATGCGAGACTCCGGGACGCTGCTTAAAATGCACATAGATAGGAAGTTGTCTGCAAATTGGACCCGAGGCTCCAACCTCAGACTCGACTGCAGGAGTCACCTGATGTTAAAAGATTCTGCAACTTGCACACGAGCCGTTAAACAAATGTTGGCGTGTGGACAAATAAACAAACACGCAGAGTTCATGAAATCATACAGACGCACACAACAACATGTCTGTGCTTTATGCATTAGTATCGATGTGTGTGAATTATAATGAGGAGTTGAGAGAACACAGCTCTGCAGGGGGGAGGTGTGTGTGTGTGTGTGTGTGTGTGTGTGTGTGTTTATAACTGAAGAGAAAATAACACGGAGCTGAACTCAGCCTCTGTGTTTGACTTCATGCAGCTTCATTTACTCTGATTATCTGCATTAATTCGTATTCACCATTTTTTTAGATGAGTGGACTTTTTTTAATTTTCCCTTGAGACGACACAAACACACATTTTTGTTTTGAAGTTGCTCAGTTTGAGCGCAGGTCTGATCTCTGGACCAATGAGCGTTCAGGGCAACAGCTGCAATGTGGGACGTCATTAAAGTAGGATTTATATTCTCTCTCTCTCTCTCTCTCTCTATATATATATATATATATTATGTTTTATATATTTGGTGTTTCAATCAATCTTTGAGTTCATCTTTCAAGCTTTACTGAGAGAAATGTATATTTCCTGTAGTTTACTTTCAATCCACCGTGACGTCGCCCGTTGGTTTGAGAGCTGCTGTTCTGAATCGTTACGTTGGACATGGCTGCCGGTTGATTTCATTTAAATCTCCGCTGTATCTCAGCTCACTCTCATCACTTGATGTCCACGAAAAGCAGCGGGGTTGACGTGTCTCACCTCTGGGTCAGTGCAGGGTCACAGCGACTGATGCAGCAGAAACAAATGACTGACTTCAGCCAATGGGCTTGTGAGAAAAAGAGAAATGAAAAACAGTCACAGCTTCGCCTGCGCTGTACATTTTATAAACAGGACTGTTACTGTGAGAGCAGAATTCATTTCTCTGCAGGTCTCCGCCCTGTGGCTGCAGCCTCGGAAGAAGAAAAGTACACCCAGAGCTCAGCTGTGTTTTTAAAGTGCGACTCGAAGTTCTTCACTGCTGCATAGTAACCTCACATGTACATGTATGTGTGTGGACCAGTACAGATATATATTCTGCTGCCTGTAGATGAAAACCTCTACAACGTGAAGAGTTCGCTCCTTCTTTCAGTTTTCACGACGCAGCCACAGACGCAGCTTCATCTCTGCTGCAACTATTTGCATATACATAGAGGCGTCCATTCCGATGTGGGATTAGGATTCAGGGCAGGTTTGAAAGTTGGTGCTTCTCTTCCAGAAGTGATTCTCTTCCCTCTCGCTTGGTGACAGAGACCATGTTTTAAGTTCCTGCTGTGGGAACTGCAGCTTCTTCAATCAAAACAATGGACTTTTTATGTATCTCAAAGGATAATTTGGGGGAAAATGGTAGATGCACTATTTTCTCAATGGCCCTGAAGGCTTTTGAAGAACTGCTGCTTCACGTAAACATGTATAGACTTTATTTTGAAAGGGGGAGAGAGAGAGAGTGTGTGGAGAGGAGATGCAGCAAAGAGCTCAAGCCTCCGTACATCTGCAGATTTCTAATGTTTCTCCTCAGAAGGTTTTGTTTTGTCATCGCAGTTCATCAGGGTTCTGCTGCAGCTACAGCGTTGGCACTAACAGTAATGGATTAACTCTGTGAAGCTGGCTCGTGTTTATGCAAACTGATCTGAGAGCAGTTCACAGTGCAGAGGCTGCAGCTTTGTTTCTACTTAGTAAACCAGTGGCCCTTCTATGTCGCTGGCTGCAAAGGAGCTGGCGATTCTGACTTTTGTTACACTGTGGATTTCATGAATTCATTAAAAAACATTTATAAAAAAGCTTGAGTGAGAATTTAAAATGAAAAGATTAAACATTTTAAAGTGTCCTCACTTACAGGTAGAAGTGCTGGACATGACAGAGGCACGTGCACTATGAGCCTTTTTTAGATTGATCTAGAAAAGAGAGTAATTTTAGCCAAACTGCTAAATATGCAGCTGCAGTCATCAGCCAAGTGGAAACCAGGGGCTTTAACACAATCTGCCCACAGTCACCTCCGAAGCTCACTCATCAACATGTATCTCATMMATTTCATCCAAACAAAAGCCTGTGTGATGCACCAAAGTCTTTCTTGGCAGAACTAGAGTCTGTCTGTTTGTTTGGCAGATCCAAGACCAGAAAGTCACGATCTGCATGTAAACGGTTGTTTTTGCACAAATGGAACTAAACCACCGTGGAAGAGCTTTAGACCAATACTTGTGTTTGTTGAGCAGGTTCAGTTCAAAGTCTTTAACAAAGGAAACGTGACTGAGGTTCATCAAATCATCACGTTGGGTTCAAACAGAAGACTTTGATTTGTTTTCCAGTTTGAGACCCAGCTCATCTCTTGGAGGGAGACGATGTTAGAACAACTCCATCACACTGTGATTTCTCTTTTGCAGCGGTGGAGATTGTAAACAGTGAAATGTGGCGAGTCGGAGAGGGAATCATTTTCTCCTGAAACTTAATTTACTCCAGATCTTTCACAGACACGCTTTATCCTCTGGGTCATGACGTCTTCTGCAGTCACACACAAACAATTCACCTGGAACTCGTTTCGCTGCGAAACCCGGAAAAATCATAGAAATAAAATATCAGTGAACAATATTCAGACTGAACCAAACGTGAATTCAGTAAGTGAGTTCAGTGGATGCTGTGTTGAATATGTGGCTTCGGCTCGACCTTTAGAAACACCGAGAGGTGTCAGCGGGAAACAAGGAGATAAAGAAGCAGAGGGAGAACAAAGCCGGTGACGTTCAGGTGACAGAGGGAAGACGGGAGGGAGGTGTGCAGGGCTAGAGAGCACGCCGCTCAGAGACGGAGACTATTCTGTGGTGAACTTCAGCGTCTTCACACCTGATGAAGGAACCTTTAGACGAGACCTTTACGTCAGTCTGAGTGAAGAACGAGGGGACGACTGAGAAAACACACCTGAGCACCGAGGAGGAGAGAGAGTTCAATCTTTAAATCGTTTTTTAACTGATCCTATTGTTAACTTTTCGTTTTGATCTTGTAAAGCCCCTCGTGACTGTGTGTGATCTCATATATGATGTTATACCGATGATTTGCTTCCGTTCTCTTCCCTCTGCTTCGTTCGGCCTCAGCCCTACAGCAGCGAACCAGACAGGAAACACTGATGCTCTTTTAAATTCCTGGCGTTTACGACACGCGCGTCATCTCATTGACCCACTCAGTCATATCAGATGAGTTCACCTGGCAGAGCAGCAGGGCTCAGCAGATAAAGACCTATTGACTGAGGAGGGGGAGGCTCCATCGACCTGTTAATAGAGGTCAGGACCCGGTGGAGGAGGACGGAGGGTTTCAACTCTCTTTGTCTCCTGTTGTGTGGCGCAGCAGAGGCTCAGAAAATATTTCTTTATCCCCACGTTTATCGGACTGATCTGTTGTTTTCACCGCAGCCGTCGGTATCACACAATTCATCCTCCCGTCCTTTAATGGAGCGGGGAGCTGGGACATGTCATGACTGCATCATATTTATCATTTGTCTTCAGGGGGAAAGTGTCCCTGTCGGTCACCGTGTAAATAACAAAACCCAGGAATGTTGCTGCCGGCACGTGTTGTAAATCACATGAGTTACAGGAAAGAGAGAGAAGACATTTAAATCACTGTTGTGTGTCGGTGAGACCTCGATACCGGGGCTCCCAGCAAACAGCACAAGATGGCCGCCATCATCACCGGGACATTTCGGCTTCGTTTCTGGATCGTGAAAGACAGAAAGACACGTTCTGAGTCTCTAGTATAATAATAGTTTCATAACAAAGATTAAAAAAGAAAGACATGAGAACTGCACAAGTTTTAATCATATATCAAATTAATACTATAAAACTTATTGCTTTAAACACTCGGTTTACATTATTTATTAAAATCCATTTTACCACTGGAACTCAGGAGAACTTGTGAAACGATTCATGGACCCGTATGAGACACTCAAACTGAAACAGTACAAAATGAATTCCCTTCAGGGAAACAGAACAGTGCTTTTTAATGAGAATAATCTCTGAGATGATCTGCTGAGGAGAACTCAGCGATACTGGATATTTAATAAATAAAGTGGGGATATCTGTTGCTGTGTGACTTCAGGTTTAATGCTGGAGCTCATCGTTCCGTGAACTCATCTCTGAGGATGATTGTTCACCTAATTAACTGACATCTATTCAAATGAGACCCGGTCACTGACCCGTGTCCCTCGTTCCCAGCTGCCTCACACCGTCTTTAACCAGAGACGTTCCAAAGCTAATATCTGTCCCTGACACACACTGTGATACCTGGACTCCATCGTTTCGTCTCCTTCGGTTCCTCCCTCTCTTCCTCCATCTTTTCTTCTCCTTCGGTTCCTCCCTCTCTTCCTCCCTCTCTTTCTCCCTCCCTCTGCACTGGATGCTTGTGTACCTGTGGGAGTCTGCAGTGTTTTAAAGATGTTGTTATGAGTCGTTGCTTCTGTCTCGGCTGTAAAATGTTTAAAGCAATTTAAAAAGTGGAAGACTCTCATCTGTCATTCTCTCTCTCTCTCTCTCTCTGTATCTGCAGCCCGTCAGTGAGTAGGAGCTCTATGAGGAGCGAGAGTTGAAGACGGAGCAACCGAGACCCGTGGTGAGTTTTCAGGTCAAAGTTTGTTCTGCTCCTGCTCAGATTTAAAGTGTTGACACTGAGTCACGTTTCATTTATAAAACCATTTCTAATACAATAACAACAGATTGGGCTTTAATTAGTTTCATGATATAAACACAGGGTGTGTGTCACTGTGGGACCTCGATACTACGGCTCCGCTGCACAGACTCAGGCTCTAAATGCCGCCACCAGCCCAAGATGGCGTCGCTGTTCTGGCTTCATTTTTGTGCCGTGAGGGGAAGTGGAGCCGCATCATTATTTACAGTCTGTCGTCCTGTAGCTTGACAGTTCTCATGTTTTATTCAGCTGGTGTTCACTAATATCAATATAGGTCACATGTGATGGATTCAGGATGGTTTTCCAGTGCCCGCAGTTTTTTTTCCCAGATGAAATCACTTTGCTGTGCCTGTCGGAGGAAAATGACATGTTAACGTTTCATATGGTTCTGACCATCGTGGAGATGAATGGCTTTTCTCTGGCAGACGTTCAGAGGCTCCAAACGTATTTTGTGTTTTCCAGTCAGGAGACATTTTTAATCTGTGTGATAGTAAGAGTCCATCCTGCAGCAAACAGTCGCTCTGAGAAGACTGGGATAGGATGTTCTGACTCACACACACACACACACACACACACACACACA